TTGGCAGACAGACCTGTCCAGTGCACTTTGCTATTACTTTTGCTGTTACCTCCCACCCCTGGTGCATGCAGCACACACACAGAGTCAATATTCAAGGCAGACGAAACTAAAACTGACTGCCAAGAGTCAAAGGATTTCACGATACTGAGAACTGGGAGATAAGATCACAGATGAATTCAGTGATGATAAATACAAAGTAGCAGATATCGGGAAAGACAAATTTGTTAGCCCTACATAAGAGGTTAAATTAGCTATTGCTCAGAAAAGAGATTCCAGCATCTTTCAGCACAGCTTAATGAAGACATTAGCTAAGCAATAAGCAACAGTCAAAAAGGCAGAGTATTACGAATTACTAGGCAAGCAGACGAAACCAGAAAACATTATTCCAGATGAATTGCGAGTTCAACTTTTGCATAGAGCATGCAGCTCTCATCCCTTTAAATTAGCTGGAGCAGAATTACAAAATGTACAGGCAAGGGTGACCAGGATAATCAGAGCATCTTCCATACAGGGAGAGATTTAATAAATTAGGACTTTCCAGTCCGGAAAAAGAGGTTACTAGGGGCTGATAATAACGCTGGTACATAAAATCATAAATGGGATCAAGGAGGAGAACAGATGCAATTATTCATTATTTCTCACAGTACAAAACTAGGAGACACAAAATGAAGTGTTCACATAGCAGGTTACATGCAATAATCACATAACAAACAAAGTATTTTTTCACACGGTCCGTAATTAAACTGTAGCATTCACTGTCAAAGGATGTTGTGGAGGGTAACAATTTAGGATGGTTCAAAGAGATGTTTAGCTTGGACAACAAAGTTACAAAATGCTTCCCAATACTTGGAAACACTACATAAGCAGATAGGGCTGTCCACACCTTACCTGCAGAAGAGCAATAGCAACAACAATGAAAGAGAGACAACTACATGCATTGGTTGTTCACGCACAGTGGTCCCACCACAGCTTACATCCCTATAGATGCAGAGCCTGTGCTCAGACATAGTCACCACGAGAGGATAAGTATATTTTTCATACTATGCCTCTTGTTCTAGCTATTCCTGGCAGTTTTCATTTTTAAGGATCCCCCACATTGTTGCTAGTATGTTGGATGCTTTCTGTTCTATCCAGCAACAGAGGCAGTCATAACTGCGCTGCAGAGAGACATGCACACAGAGGGGTGGGGGAAGACAAGCTGAAGCAGGTTTCCCTCTTTAAGGATAAAAAAGCAAAAGCCCCTACGTGCTGCAAACGTTCCAGCAATTATCTTCCAAGTGCATCACCTGCTCTTCCACCTAAGTTACAGCTGAACGTGTCTTAATTATCATTGACATCAGCAAGGTCAGGCAGCAGTACATGCAGCTGTGCTGTTCTCTCACTTCTTCTCCCTTTAAAACACGTGCTCTATTACACGATCTCTCCTGTTGCCTTGGGATCCTCTCTGGCCCTTTCAGTCGGAGTGGATAGTGAGGGAAAGGGGGGGGGGGGTACGCAAATGCAAGCGGTGCCACCAGGCAGAGGTTGAAGGGATACTGTACACGAAGCAGCGCCAAGTTCTCAAATGCATTTGTTTCCCTGGCTATAGCACAGGCTGCAGAAATACAATGTTGGTTTATGGCTGAATCACATCTCATTTTAGTCATGCTACTGTCGCTGTTCTTTGAAGCTGTTTTAGTTCAGGATGCCTTCCTTCTTTCACATAAATATCCAATGCTGAGTTTTGCTGAAGAAAATGCAGGAAAGATGAAATTCACTCTTCAGCTTGGAGTCAGGAGTCCTTCCTTGCCGTCTGTGCCCACGCAGACGAAACCCCAGGGGCAGAAGACCACGCGATCGATGTAGAAGCTGCTGCTGCGGTCTCCAGCTTCCTCCCCTACAGCGCTGCAGTGACCCAGGCAGGGCCACGGGGAAGCTGTGGCAGCAGCAGCAGAAGGGGCAGCCGGGGCTGCCCTGCGGCTCAAAGCTGCGCCCCGCTGGTGCAAAGCCCCTTGGCCTGAACCCTGCAGCTCTCTCGTCGTGGTGCAGGCGGACACTGCTGCGAGTGGGGGACACTGCTGCGAGGCCACAGATCTGGTTCCCACACATGAAGGTGAAAAAGGGGGAAGCTTGGTCTCACTTTCTCCAATACCCATGGCCACAAATAGCCTGGTACAGAGCAGGAATCGGTGTGCAGCAAAGCATGGCAGTTTCCTTTTCCCCCCAAGAGGCAGGGAGGAAGCAGAGTACGAACCAGACCTGGTTCAGTTCCTGCTTTCCTTACAAGGCTGTGCAAGCCTGGCCAGTGGCTCAGGCTACCCTGCAGTCTTGCTTTCTAGCCCCATGTGACTCCCTTCCCTTCCCGGCTATAGACTTTGAACTATCGCTAGTCAACATAGATCAGTAAGTGATCCACATAAGGCACCCTGCACATCACTAAGACATCATACAACATGAAGCAGCTTACCAAGGACATGTTAGTACAAAAATAATAAGGTTGATATATATTTTTCTTTTCGTTGTATTTAATATATTTATATTTAATACATTTATATTTAATACATTTATATTCACTCATCCCTTCTCATTTGATATGACGAAATATTTGCTCTGAATGTAGCCACCACCTCAGCTGAAAAGCAAAGATGTGACTGTGCTTGCCCTCTGCTCCTCAGCAGTGTCACAGCTCAAAGGCTGAGACAGCTGGTTCCCACCCGAGTGCCCCTTGTGCCATGAGATCATGGAGCCCGGTTCGGGCACCTTCCCAGCCAGCTGCGTGTGTTCCCCACTCAAATCCCAAAGACAACAGAACAAGAAAAGCCCATCTAAAATGGAGAGGAAGAGAGGATGTGCGATATCTTTAGCTGGTCTTTTCACAAAAACGTCATTTCAACTGACTTTTTCTCAAATACAGAATCCAGCGATTTGTGATAAGAAGATGGAACTGAAAATTAAAACTGTAAAATAGGATCAGTGCTGTGCTTTGGTAGTGTCCGGTATTCACCCCAGCACAGCCAGGAAGGAAATAGTTTGAAAACACCAGATGCTCATTGCACTAATTGATTTATTTAACAATACAAATTTCTTTCTACTGCATGGTTTAGCAGAGAGAACTTGAGAAACAAAATTAGCTTCTTTTCTTTTTTTAAAGTTTAATTGTTTACACAAAAACAACCTTTACTTCAGTAAATATAAAATTTACACACAAAAAAACTACATTAAAAAAGAACAGAATCATGACAAACCAACAAAAAAAAAAAAAAGGATGGGAATTCAGTGTAAAGGATCCAATTGCAAGGAAGGCAAGATGGGGCAACACTATCAAGGCATCCCACTTGTACACCTAGGTATCTGAAGTTGTAGGTGCAATACAAAACCAAAATACATTAAAACTAGGATTAAAACCTGTATTTTTATACCATAATATTTTATGATATAAATATCTGTAAATTCTGTAGGCAACACAGTTAATGTGTGAAATACATAGTTTGCTCTTCACTGGAAAGTCACTGGAGTGGTGTACGAGCACCGTGTCACCCACGAGTGTGCTAATGGTCAGCAGCGAGCAGACTTTAGACGTCCAGCCCGGATGTGATAGCCCCTTGTTTCTTTGCCAATCTGTGCTATTTCTCACACGTCCAATGACATAATGAGAAACTCTGGTCACCTCCAGCAGTGATTTCCAGCACTTCATCTCCTGGCATTAGTCTGTTACCTGACTTAGGCATATTCACCTGCCAGATCCCCTGTTTCTCATTCCCTTTTGCACTTTATAACCTGAACTCTAAAGCTATCTTGTAGCTACCAAGAGAGACTGGCTTCTAGGTTGAGATATTTGGGATACACAGTTCTTCAAGCCACCTTCAGGAATCTGTAGAAATATTTAAAGTAGGGTGGACAATTCATGGTCAAAGGTTATGTGATACAAAAAACGGGGACCTATATAGTGATGGCTAACTTTAGACCTAAATCTTTAACATTTTTTCTATTGCTTCTTTAATATTTAAACTTAACATTCAGTTTTCATATATTAAATGAGCAGAGCATCTTATTGATGGAAGTGCTACATTATCTCCAAAAACACCAGGTAGTAAGGGAGACTGTAAAGTTTAAAATTAACTGTAACCTTAAAAATCATTTAAAGGGATCAAGTCTCTTTTTTTTATTATCAATATTGTGACTGGCAACCTATAAAAGCTTAAATTATAAAACTATTAGTGACTCTACTTTTTAAACTGTATGTACTATAAAGCTGTATATCTTTTGTTACTTATAGATGTTACAAAATTTCCAAGTCAGAAAGTGAAGGGGGGGGGGGGGAAAAAAGTTAAATAGTATTACACAATTATTAAAAACTTTAATATTGTGTAAAAATCTCCCATACGAAAATGGGAGGGGGGGGGGGGGAAACATAGTCTAAAAGTTTTACAGATTTAATTTTCACTAACAAAGGTTCATTTCTCCCACAACTGTTTTTATGCCATAAAAATCTGATCAAATTTATTCTACTACTTTCTTTTCTGGACAGATGATACAGTGTTCAATCATGCTTTGGAAGACCATTTTCAACGGGTAACTGTAGTTCTCTAGATCAGCAAGTCCAACTTGCTTTACTCGGAAACAAAAGCACCAGACTATCTCTAACTTGGCCCTCGTCCTGCAAAAAAAATTTGTAGCAAGACTCAGGCAGTCTGTTATGAGAGCAGGACTGGCCCTGAAGCAACCAGCTACATTAACTTCTGCAGTAAGCATGTGCAATGCTCTCATTTCAACTTGAGAAAGAGCCAAACAGTATTAGATTTAAGGAAATTGTAGAAATGACATTTGTTCTGTAAAAAACAAAACAGGGAAAACTTAAGCAATCCACAGGTGTGCATTAAACATTTAACAGCAAGCCTTTGCTTATGTATATTAATTTAAAGATTATCCACAGGGATCTGTGATACATTGGCCCTGCCTTGTTACTATAATTAAATTTATTCAAATATTAATTTAAAATAGGAAAACAAAGAAACTGCTCCTTGGGGAACATGTTTATTGTGTTTGAGATGATACACTGGGTGCTCTCTGAGCTACAAAGGGAAAAAGGAAATCCTTTCGTTACAAACTGACAAAGGTAAAAGTTAAAACAGTTTTCACAACAGCATGTACCACATATTGGAAATAGATCTGGGTTTAATACAAATGACATAATTCCTAGTAATCTACAGCTACCTTTAATAACTTCATACAGATAATGAATTAGGCTAAAATGCACTATAATATTTGGTTGACTTCAGGAACAGTATCCTTAGTACATCACAAAATACATTTTGATATCCCAAAGAAGCAAGACTTGCAAGTAGGCATTTTAAACATAACTAATCTACAGCTACAAATTTCTACTCTTGATAGCATTTACCTTTTTGGGGGGGCAGTATCCCAGTCTTCAAAAGGATAAAAGCAGAGTAGAATCAGTATAACATATACACAGAAGTCCGTATTGTAAAGGCTATAAAGATTTGTTGCACACTGCAAAGTTGCCTTCTGCACCTTCACACTGCACAAGTAGTTTGTAATTTATGTTGCATATCTCTTGGTCCACTGTCTGGCTATCCTGTCATGTTCTGCTCTGTTGGTCAGGTACTGAGTGGCTATGCTTCCAACCAGAGGGTCAGCTGCAAAAGGCAGGAGAAGATGCATTAGAAACCATTCCACGATAATAAAAAAAAAAAAAACAACAAACACATGATTTAAAATACATAATCTATTCCAAAAGATAGTCTTTGTTAGGCCAGAAAATCTGTGAGATATAGTGGGACTCTTATCATACAAGACATTTCCAAGAGAAAACACACAAGGCACAATGAACAGAAAAAGAAAACAGAAAAATCTGTTGTGGTTATCTGCGTATTAACGAATCTTGCCCCAGCCAGGTGCCCTGCTTTCACCCCTTTGCAAGGGCCGACGGGTGCAGGGGACATTCAGTGAGTGTAGCCTGGCGCAATCCTGTCACAGTGCTGGGACAAGACAAGTGTACCTTAGGGTATCAGGTCTATGGACACACACCGAGGGGGTCCAGTTTGCTTCAGGAGTCATCAAAGAGGCTAATCCCTTTCCCCCTGATCGTTACCAGTCTTCTGTAAATGAACTGTCACCTTAGCACTACTGCTCAGTTCCTGCCCTGATTGCAGGCAATTAGCATTCATTGCCTAATGGCACTGGTCACACACTTGTTGCTCAGAAACCGTACTGCTTCCAGTAGAGTTCCTCCCAACAGGAACAAGGAACTCTCTTTGAAAAAGGGAAAAATCGCTCTGCACATCGTCCCCCTCACATTTGCAAGATTAAACGTTTGAATTGCTGTCTTGAGAGAAGGGACTTCCTGTGGCCCCTTCCAACCTGCAGGATTTATGAGTTTACAACTCAAGGGAACTTTGTTACTTTCCTGGATCGACCACTCACTTGCTGCAGCTCCTGTAATACAGACCTTCAATGACATCAGCTTATTTTCTTCACCATACCTTGGGGGTAAAAAGGGCTTAGTGCTATTTGCTTTCTGTTGCGCCGCAGAAGTGAAAAGTGCCATTAAATGTGGGACGGCATCCAAGCAGGAATGTCATCCCCAATTTTAAAAATATTAATTTTTATTTAATCTGCATACAAGCAAATACGCAAATTACATTCCATGGCAAATAAGTCAAACGACTAAGAGTGGACGCTCAGTAAACTCTCAGCTCCTTACCTGGGTTGCAGTCTGTCAGAAGAGAACAAATAGACAGCAGAACCTTTGAAATAGTCAAAGCAGGGCTCCAGTTGTCTTTCAGGATATCCAGACAGATGACTCCCTGACTGTTGATGTTGCAGTGATAAATTCTGGTACGGAAAGTAACCTAGAATCACAGCGTAAGAGACAGAGAGGGAGTCATTCGGTGTTGCCCAGGGATGCTGCCCCTTGTCTCTGAGCAGCAGCAGCGCCTGGGGTGCTCCCAGTTCTGCAGAGCTTCTGTGGAGGCAGCTCATCACTGCTCATTTTCTAAAACACAATTATTTAACAGAAGAGAGCGTATTTACTGTAGTCATGGCTACCTTGGAGAAACCTACCACGGAGATCTTTGGTGCACAAACTGCTTTCACACAGGCCCTCTGTCTGGTATCCGCAAAAATTAGGACCTACTTTGTAGTACTGTATGCTATTTAATGAACATCCTGCGTGTCAAGAACGATCTAATCACAAACTTAACTTTACTGTGGTTTCTGAAGGTGAAGAAGTAGACAGAATTTGGCTGCATGTGAAGTATTAGTTGATCTTTTCCTTTCTTTCAAAAGCCTAAATATAGTCCATGAAAATTAATATTTAAAATTGCAGTATTGTATTATTCTTGTCCAAATTAGCAATGAAATCTTTGCCTTACCCTTCATTAGGCAAGACATAATATACATCCAAAACAACGCTATCACACTAACACCATTCTTGTTTTTAAATTATTTCAGACTAATATCGGTAGAACATGTAAGAATTATTCTGCACAAATAAGTTAGAAATATTTAAGTGTTTTAATTACATAATGCACAAGAAGATGAAGGAAACTTTCTTTTTCATACAGATGCAGGGGGGAAAAATCCGTGATGTTTCTGAAACTACTGAAAATTCAAAAATTATCATGCTCTTAAAAAAACCCCACAAGATTTTCATGAGGCATTTGTCTAAAACTCTGCATCGCTTCATTATAACAATCTTAACTCAGAGAATATTAAATTTTGCGGGTTTCAGAGAAGTGTGAAATACATAAAGGGTATATTCTTCTTTACGCTGTAATCCTTCTGGGAATGAAAAAAGATATCTGATTTATAACATAACACTGTAGCTACAAGAGCCGTAAGTTGTAGAAGCGTTGTGTGGTAGAATGTATTTAGTGTTTGTGAATGTCAGCAGTGTCCTTTCTGGTGACTTGGTCAAGAGCTGTAATTTGGTGCTAAGGGAGGGGAGAAGGGAACAACCTTTAACTTCCTTGATATCCATTAGTAAATTATGATTTCTTACGTATTCATACTATGTCTGAGCAAGGAAATGAAATTTTAGTTTAAGTTAAGATTAGTTGCATTTAATAAAAAGAGCTTTTGCTTAAAAATATTATCAAACAAGGTTGCTGATCTTGCCAGTAGTAAATAGATTGACATTTTACAATAATGGAAATCATCACAGTAATTTACCCGATTTGAAGTCACCATATCACACTCTAGTTGTCTATCTAAACTTATTTTAGCTTTCTGTTATTTTGCTGAAAATTACGTGAAAATATATAGTACAGGATCTGGTTCATAACAAAACGAAGTTTATTATGTATACATATTTTAGTAGCTGGAATGAGAAGATGAAAGCATAAGAAGGTCTTGTGCCATCTTCTATTAAAATTAAAATTTCTTGAATCTTAACTCTTGATCAGAATTATCATCTCATTTATCGCTTGGTAAAGCTTGGAAATCAGTATTGACTGTGGTAATCAGGAAACAAATTAGACACAGGATTTTTCTGAAATTGCAAGCCAAGATTTTGGACCTTGTAGTTTTCAAGAGACCATAAAAAAATTTGATATTCAGAAAGCAATGAGCATTCACTTACTGCAAGTTACATTCTTCTCACATGTGAAACAACGATAAACACAATAAAAAGCTTACCCTTACCTTTGGTGGCTTGAATGGATAGTCAGATGAAAATGTGATATCCAGGAAAAACACGCCTCCTTCGTATACAGAACCTGGAGGTCCAAGTATAGTAGATCTCCATTCATAAATGTTATCCCCTTTAGGACCGGCACTGTTTAAAAAAAGAGGAGAGAGAAAGGAGGAGTCAGGTGTACCTTTGAGAGGGGCATTTTATGGATTTCCTTCTACATTCATTTTGTTTAATACAAACCACTTCCCTGTCTTGAACATCTGCCTAATTTCCAACTGATCTCACTGCGCTCAGTGTTTGAAACAGGCACAAAAGCTGGGCACTCCGCTGTCCTTTGGAGATACAGCAATGAAACAGATTGACCATGAACTACTGGACTGTCACTGTCTGAAACATACCCCCGATCTGCTTTCTCGAGTATGCGGTTGCTCTGAGCTTCTGCATCATGCCCTTCCAATGACATCACATCCATACACAGAAGGAGTTGTATATCTTGACCACATTCATCTTCTCCAGGCATTAAACGGATCATACCTCCATAAAAAAATGTGACTTACAGGTATATTGATACACATTTATTGCCACTTGTTTCACAGACTAGAGTGAAATGTTACTCCCTTGGGCAGGAAAACGGGATGGGAGAGACAGAATCAAGTAGCCTGGAATTGAGCTTCTTACAGCACTGTTAATCCAAATAACTGTTTTCTTCAGGCATTTTCAATCAGCATTGAAACTACTAGCCAAAAATAGTTTATTTTAAGAAGTACAATACTGAACGCATTTCTCACTAGGGGAAGGGTTATTGCATAATTAATAATTAAAGTAAAGCTTTGAAAGAAGGGATAATGAACAAGCATTTTCTCGACTTCTGAGACTTCATACTTAATGCTATTATCTCACAGTAACCATCTAACCTCCTCACAAAAAAAGAATCAAAGCACAATCTTATTTCTGTACGCAAGTCTTGGGGTAAAAATTAACCTAACCTTTTGCAAAATGACCTGAACCTGAATATGGAAAACAACACCGCTGAGCTCAGGCGGGCACGGTGGATTCATCACATCTCTGCAGACAAGTCAATAACGCAGCACTGTAAAAGATCCTTTCAATTCTCCCCACCGCGGCTGCCTCCCAGGCACCACCTACATCTTGCAGATGCATGGTGAAGCGTCCCCATCCTTCTCCCTCTGCGGTCCCCAGGAACGGGCACGGAGGACTGTCATACGGGATTGCACAGGAAGCAAGCGACAGGGCATGGCACCAAGCTGTAGCCTGGGAGTTTGTGGTTTCTGGCATTGCTCGATACTCAGAGAAGCCTCCCTACAAGCCTTCCAAGTGTTAAGGCTCTTCCCATGTCATGTCACCTCATGTATTTGTCATACATATGTCCGCAGTCTATAACATGGCATGTTGGACATTCATCCCTACTACGTAGTCAAACATGTGGAGACACTTGTCAGGGACAAGGAATATGAGCAGTCTGCACTAGGCATCTGCAATTCCCACACCAAAAATTTAGCTATTTTTACATTAAGATCATATTTGAGAAACAATCAAAAGCTGATTTTGATTATGAACTTCCTTTCAATTCATAATTTCCCAACATGTTTTTTATCTTGTGGACGTTTCATGTACCAAATGTTTAAACTGTTATAGGCCTTTCATTAACAGGACAAAATAATCATGGATTTTGGCTGACATCCTATTTAATTAAAAACAAAAAGTATTTGATGGAGCTGTAGCTATTTTCCTGTTGCCAAAATGAAAGTAGGTAACAACGGCGTGCTGGCCTCCAGAGTACAGCTAAGAAAGAAAAACTAGAAGTGCTGTCAAAATAAAGTTTGGGTCTGAAATTACTGGTCTTGCCTTTCTATTTGCAATGCATGCACAAAAGTGGAAGAAAAACAGTAGATAAATTTTAGAAAAAAAAAAAAAAGGAAATCCAGAGGCAAGGAGGTCCATTTTCGATGATGTAATGAACTGTTCGTACCCTCAGTCACTCCAGAAGATAATTCCATTCATGCTCTCTAAAAACCAATTAGTGTAAGAACTGAAAATATTGGGGCAATAATGACAATATTTAAAACCCAGACAGGCCACTGAAATGTTTTAATTAATTATTGACATTCATCAAGCTTACAGCTAATTAGTATTGTGCTTGGAAACCAAATTTCTATGGAGCAATTCAATTTCAGCATTAGATGTCCTAATGACTGTTTTATAGTTTAATGCAGAGGTTAGTGCTCTTGCCTCGTGTGTCAGGTACCTTTCCTTCATACACCTCTAACAGCTGGATGCAATTCAATCAGATTAATGAAACAGCTGAATTAAATTAGTGACATATTTCAGCCCAATGAATCAGTCACAATTAAGTGCGGCACCAGTCCGGTGCCAAACTATCTGGTAATCACCAACCAAGTCAGAGCAAGGGCATCTATCAGCTAGTAGCCAGAAGCTAAGTGCAATAACTCTCCACCTATTACTATCTGCTATCCTCTTCTATGCTACTGCTAGCAATATATAAAAGGATCGGGCTACAACATGAGAAGGGGAACTCCTGACCTTGTAAGTGGAAGAAAACACTGTGTTCAAAACCCCTCCTACTGCTGAGAAAAGATTGCTGCAATGTCAAAAGTAACACAAAGCTGTAACAATAACTGCACTCAGATAAAGGAGAAAATTGTTAAATCAAACAATTTCATTACATCTGATTGAGGTTTGTGAAATCTCTATTTAACAGCTGAAGTGCTGCCTCACTTCCAGTGGTGCAAAAGATACCCTTGCTTCATTAGCAACCTGAAAATCCCTGCAATTACTACATCATTGGTGTGAAGAGACACGAGATTAAAGAGCAGAGACAAGACACCACACTTGGCTTCTACCACCTCTATGTTTCCACTGGGGATCATCAGCCAACCATACCCTACTTTGTCTTTTGTATACATACCAAGGTAATCTTTTTTGGAAGTAAACAAACCCACACTCTCTAAGGCTCAGCAAAACATACCAGACCTATTCACGGCAGCCTTGGCCTCTGCAGTGATTTCCACAAGGACAGGACAGTGGGGTTACACCCACTTGGCTGACTGCAGAAGAAGAGCAGAAAGCGCAGTCCTGCCTCAGGCAGGGTTGTGTACTGAGCTGCAAGCGAGTGCCGTAGCCCCACTGGAGTCACTGCCTTCGACTCTCCGTCACCGCAGAGCATCGTCCTGGTGCCGCAGGAAGCCACAAGGAGGGAACTGCTACTCCCTGGTGCAAATCTAACTTCTCTGTTCCCACAGAGGACACCAAAAAGCCCGGGCTGAAAACTGGGAATAAGGAGGCTTTCCTCTGTCCACAATTTTCTATTTCATTGATACACTCAGAAGAAATACTCTCCTCCTGTGGGGCACTAAAGAGGCTGGCATGGGAAGTGCTTCTAGGGGCTGTACTTGAGCTCTTTATTCCCAGAAGTTCTCCTGCTATTGAAGAGACTCACTCTCCTATTGCAAGCACAGGCTTCAAGCATCCCACCTTAAACCTTGAGAGCTGTGGTGAGTGACAGCCCAGCAATCTCTCTCGCGGTCTGCTACACTGGACAGAACACCCCAGGCAGAGCGCTACAATGGGGAATTTCCATCGGCTTTTTCCCTTTCCTTTTTTCATCACTGAAAGACTGAGCTCCTTCTGACTTCCCCCATGGAATCCATATGGACATAAAATCCTCCTCTATTCTATCCTTTAGCACACAAAATCCCGATGGAGCAACAGATGTGATGACAACTTCAGTGTTTTGGCTACACAGCATACATGTGCAGTTCACTGCTACCAGCCTGCTGCCCTCCTAGATTAGCCTACAGAACATCACAAATTCAGTAAAGGCACCACCCGTATATTCTCAATAAAAGAACCACTTGATTATTTTTTTTAAATATGGGCAAAAAAAATCTCAGACAAAGTAACAAAGCAAATTAATTGAAATGACAAAACATTCTTTGCAAAATTAAGGGGTTTTTATTTCATACATAAAAGCTGGATTGATTTTTTTTAATAAATTAGATAAATTGACAGAATAAAGTTAACTGGCTACATCTGCTTCCTAAGTAAATATTCATTATGCCACTTCACTGAGGGATATATACCTGATCCAGATAAGACAAAGGATTTATAACCACGCTTTATCCAAGCTAGTCCGCTGAACAGATTTAATTTACAAGTGTGACTTCAGATGGTGAATTTGAGAAGACATGAGGTTAAACTCTAGGGGCCCATGGGGTCACACCAGGTCCTTTAAACCTAACTCTGCTGAACATGCCTCTCAGGTTTCATGAAGAAGAGCTTTTCCAGCACAGCGTTACAAGCATTCACACGGATGCAGCGGCATTCACACCAGCAAGAAGTCTGTTAGAGTCCTGATGCAGCGGTTACAGAAATCAGAATTCAGCATTTGTTACAATTCACTATATCAAAATGCATTAAAGCTGCCCATATGGAACTAGCTGCACGATGAGAAACTAGGACAAGAAATTTCCAATCTACATGATGCTAGTAGCATGCTGCTTTCTGCACTTGCTAAATGCGTTTCTCCTGTCAACAGCACTCCTCTGAAACATGGGGCTCTAAATTTGGTGACAGAATGCAACTTCATAGTACTGAGACTGTGATAGTTAAGAAGAAAAAGCGTGAAGAAAAATGTAATTTAGCTAGATTTCGTGTTAACTCTGTTATGCTTTATTATGAGAAACAATTTGGGTCTGCAATACGATACAACTGAGGAGGAAAAAAAAAAAAATCTGTTTTTTAGGAAGTGGCCTCTGTCAGACTCTAAAACAGTCTTATAAGAAATGTCATTGGTACCATAAAACTAAAGGTACTGGTCTATATCCCAAGATGCCCATCGGGGGTGCCTACGTAGCACAGATTTAAGTGGTGGAATATTTTCCTACATTCTTCTTTCAAAGGCCCCACCCTTAGGTCTGATACCCAGGCAGGTACCACAAAGGCATCAGCTAACAAACCAAACGGGGTACCTGGAGTGAGAGTTAGGTAAGGAAAGAGCCCTCTCCATCCTCCCCCAACTTTCTTCTCAAGATGCAATTCAGCAAAAGTAAAACTCCCGAAGCTCTTCACAGACTGCCCAGCCACAGCGACTCTGTCACAAT